TCTCAAGCTGTATTCAAACGTTATACGATATGAGGAAACCTTTACTCAACCTCTATACAGGCAAATCTGGCGAACTTAGTCAGCTACTTATGGCTGTTGGAACGGTCGGGAGAAGCTCTTATTGCATATCCATTAACGCTTCTATACAGCTGTTATCCTGCTGTTTAGTTGTGTGTGAACTTGAAAGGTGCTTATTCAACCTTTTCCCGGTTATCCAATAATCACTACACAGCTTTCTCTTGAAGCCGGGTTAAATACTGTTTATGCTTTTTTATGAAGGATTTTATTGAGTTTATTTTGCTGTGAATCAAATTAATCGAAATTAGATACAAATCATCACCAAATTATTTACCCTGCACCGGAACTTGGAATCGAACTTGAGACGACCTCATTGGCAAAAACCTTGACACTACCAACTGTGCTACGCCAACACTTTGAACTTATGTAAACAAATCAACATTCCCTTCTACAACAAAATCGCTCAGTAGAGGCTTTATAATAGTGCACATGAATCACTTTTCTCGACTAGTTATAAAAGAGCAGAGTAAAAGCTGTTAAACTGCACACGTCTAAAAATAAACCTAGTTGACTGTGAAAATGCTTCCGAAGTTGCTCTAACACAGTTTATAAGCTGAGTACAGGTTGTTTAGTTGTTGAAAAAGCACTTTTGATGTTTATGTTATTCAGCAAAAGTGGTTGGTTGTTTAGAAGCCATCAAATGAGTAATATATTCACTTTGTTAGCTTTGTTTTGCAGCTACAAGTGGAAGTTGATTAGTGTGTGTTTAGAAGTGACATTAGCCTTTATTGGCTGATGTTATTCAGTGCGACTGACAAATTGAATAATGGTTGTGAGAAAGTTGAGTAAACGCTCTCCAAAACTGTTTTGCTAGCTTTTGCTTGTAGCTGTATCTGCAGCTTCTTTTCAGCTACTTTACAGCACAACGCTGGAAAAGTTGGCTTACAAAGCTGAAAATGTTAGTTGGGAAGTAGACAAGTTGTCTAAGGTATCTTGCAATGGCCCTTGCAGGTCCGGTGCACTTGGCCCTATAACAGACACAACGCCGTCATCTGCAAGCTGCCTTACCGAGCATTTTTCATCAAGACAACCATCAATGTCTTTGACATAAAAATTATAAAGAAGGGGGCTTAAACATGAGCCCTGGGGGAGACCCATGTAACTAATTCGTGAAGTTGTCGAGTTTCCATGAGAAAAGCTCATATATTTCTCAGACAACAAGTTGCTCAAATAGTTGTTTATAATTGGTGAAAGCCCACTATCGTAGAGTTTATCCGAAAGGACATCGATACAAACAGAATCAAAAGCCCCCTTAATGTCCAAGAAAACTGAACCCATTTACTGTTTTTGCGCATAGGCCAGTTGAATTTCAGTTGAAAGCAACGCAAGACAGTCGCTCGTTCCCTTGCCTCTCCGAAATCCAAATTGCGTATCTGAAAGTAAGCCATTCGACTCGACCCATTTGTCTAGACGAAAAAGAATCATTTTCTCCAACAATTTCCGTATACAGGACAGCATCGCGATGGGACGGTACGAGTTATAATCCGACGCGGTTTTACCGGGTTTTCGAATGGCGATAACTCTTACTTGCCTCCAGTCATCCGGAACAATGTTGTGCTCCAGAAATTGATTGAATAAGTTCAACAAGCGTCTCTTCGCGACGTCTGGGAGATTTTTGAGCAAGTTAAACTTGATTCTATCCATTCCTGGAGCTGAGTTGTTACATGAGAGGAGCGCAAGTGAGAATTCCACCATCGAAAACGGAGAATCTATTTCGTTATTACCCGACGGACGATCACGAACGTTGGTTTGAACCGGCACCGAATCCGGACAAACTTTCCGCGCGAAGCTGAATATCCAACTGTCTGAGTACTCCTTGTCTTCGTTGACCGGTGATGATGCGTTTCGCATTCTCCTGCCGACATTCCAGAGTGTTCTCATGGAAGTCTCTCGCGACAAACCATCGACGAACCGACGCCAGTAACCGCGTTTCTTGGCTTTAATCAAGCCCTTGAAAGTTTTCTCGAGGTCGGTGTACCGCTCGAAATCCCCGACCTTACCGTGTTTGCGGAAGCGTTTAAACGCGGCGGACTTCTCGCTGTTCGCGTTGGTGCAATCCTTATCCCACCACGGAGTGAGAGGTCGTTTGCGAATGGAAACACCCGGAACGCGTTTCGTCTGTGCTTGAAGAGCGCAGTCAACGATTAGTCGCGATAAAAAGGAGTACTCATCCAGCGGAGGGAGTATCTCAACCGATTCAATACTACCGAGAACCGTGGCCGCAAATTTTTTCCAGTCGATGTTTTTCGTGAGGTCGTACGCGATGTCAACCGAGCGAGTGGAAGATGAACCATTGGTAATAGAAATTTTGATTGGCAAATGATCACTACCGTAGGGATCTTGGATTACTTTCCACGAGCAATCCAACGATAGTGAACTCGAACAAAGTGAGAGGTCTAATCTGCTTACTCTTGCTGGAGGTTTGGCTACTCGTGTTGCTTCCCCGGTGTTCAGAATTGTCATTTTGAAGATGTCGCACATGTCGTATATCAAGGTTGAGCGGTTGTCGTCGTACAGTTCCCCCCAGCCTGTACCGTGAGAGTTAAAATCTTCTTAGATCAACCGAGGCTCAGATAAAACTGAGCAGATATCTGAGAGACCTTGGCGAGAAATCTCAGTTCTCGGAGGAAAATATACTGAGGCAATACTGAGGCTTTTACCTCGAATATTTACCTGACACGCGACAACTTCAATGCCTGCCACGGAAGGCAGATCGATTCTATAAAAGGAATGGAGCTTATTAATCCCGAGAAGCACCCCTCCATACGAATCTGCTCGATCAAGGCGAATAATGTTAAAATCGTGGAAAGGGAGATCGGTGTCTGAAGAAAGCCATGTTTCACAAAGTGCAAATGCGTCACAAAGTGAGTTGTGAACTAAAAATTTGAATGCGTCAACTTTCGGTATAAGACTTCTACAGTTCCACTGAAGAAGAGAGATCATATCTCCGACCTCATTCGGAAAATTATCCATCAAAAGATATGTTCGATGCAAGGAAGGACCACCTAGAAGCTAGTTGCTTCAAAAGAGTTTTCACAAATGGAAGCACTAAATTAATAATGTTTCTAGTTGAGTCAGAGACGTTGAATATATTGAAGATGCTCTCCACAATTCCAGAAAAGTGAACATGGCATCATGTTCTTGCTGGTTATTCAGCTGATTTTCTGGCTGAAAAACTGGGATATCTGGGGTTTTAGATGATCCCGGAAGTGGCGGAAAGTCTTTGTTAAAATTACAAACTTTAAATCCCGGTGGTGGGGGTTTTGTTACATTTCCGCTACCTCTTTAATTTGTCAAGGTAGGTTGAGAGTCCGTACGAGAGGCCTTACGAGGTTTTTGGGTGACGTTTGTTTTGGACCGCTTCCTCGTGTTGCCGTTAAAGACAAAAGGACTACTCTCACCAACCTCTGAGTCAGAGCCCTGATCATCATCTGGCAGGAGGTGGAATGTGTTGTTGCTTTTTGAGGTGGTTTGGGAAGATGAAGCGGTCGTTTTCAAAATTTCTGCTAACGAGCGCTTAGAGCGAGCTTGCAAGGACCGCTTTAGTTTTTCTCCCTGCTGTTTGTACTTCGGGCAATCACTCAGAGCATGCGGAGCATCCTTACAGTAAACGCATTTTGGTGTAGCATGACAAGGACCCTCCGTATGCTCCTCCCCACATTGATCGCACCGCGGTTTGTTGGAACAAAAGTCCGCGGTGTGACCTAGTTGTTTGCATTTCAAGCAATTCATTACCCTCGGTACAAACAAGCGTACAGGTAGTCGAACCTTCCCAATTGTGACGTAGTCAGGTAATGCCGATCCTGAAAAGGTCACACGAAACGAATCTGAGAGGGTATACTTTTTGTTTGTGCCTATGTGTGACACTGACTGCAGTTGAATGCAGTCCAGTATCTTGACTTTCGGGAGGGCACGGTTTTTGAAAATGCCGAAAGATTCGACTTGCAGGAAATCCTCACAAGTCAGACTCGAATCGGTGACCACTCCTTCAATTTCTACGTCACAACTGGGGACGTAGACTCGATATTCGATCGAAAAAAGCTCACAGGCAACAATTCGGTTTGCCTGTTTCAGGTTATCAACGGTAACGCGCAGTTTGTTTGGCGTCACCTTAAAGATATCGGTTACGGCCGAAAAATGTTCAAAGGTTTTTGTTTGGGCCGGAAGAAAACAACCCACGGACCTTTCGAGTCATCAGGGTAAGCCTTGTGGCGGGGGGTCGCTGATATTTTCGGGGGAAGGAGTGGAGTAGGGGGCACAGAAGGACAAGGCGGCGATGGTGGACAAGGCGGCGATGGAGGAGAAGGGGGCTGTGGTAGAGATTTCACTTTTAGATAGGCTCCAGTGTTCTTGCTGGTGGTTTGATCAAGGTGCTCTTCGAGGGTATCCATTTCCTCAGAGCTATCAAGGTTTTCAAATGAGGGAGACTTTATTGACTCATCATCAGAGATGTCAAGCGACAGACCCCCGCCTTTATTTGTATCATCCATTGCGGTGACTTAAGATACCACCGCAACGGAATTGGTTGCAATCTTAGCTATTAAATGTTTATATTTTCCACAAATTTCAAATATATGGATTGAAATTGGAAAGGAAACAACAAGAAAAGGAAGTCAACACTGTGAGTGAATTGCTCAATGTTAAAAAAAAATAAAAATAAAATAAAATATGTGAAAAAAAAACTAAATAAGATAATGAATAATAATAAAATTAATAATTTGTAAGAAAGGAAATTCAACGCTGCAGGGGGATTACTTAATATTAGCAAATCAAAAACCAAACAAAAAAAAATATTTACAAAAAAAAAAAAAGAAATAGGCTGAGAAAAAAATTAACTTATCTCTATATGCCGGGATGGCGCGTTTACAAACTCCACTGTGCGATGAAGCAGAGATGATCGCTCTATTGTTGCAGCACGTGGCTTAGCACAAAGGGCACCGTCCGGTCTGGATAGACCGTATCTGCAGTTCTGCTGCTTCGTTGTACGGTGTATACGGGTGTATATTGATGCCGTATGATGCGATGTCTAGGTGGTGGTTGATGGTTTTACCGTTGAACAATCCAATCTTCAGACTCGGCTGAGATGGTTGCTTCCTCCGCGGAACGTTTATGTCCGCCTGTGGCACTGCACACCAGAAGGTGTATAAAAAAAAACTCCGATCGGGGAGAGAAAAAAAATCCACTTTTTTCCGAAAAACACTTTTGCGGCGGCGGGAGAGTAGCGTAAGCAAACTTGCTCTGTCGAACGTTCGACGAGGAATGAAGCTACCATATGTTTTCGTCGTATTAAGAGGTACTCGTAATCGGAGTCTTAGCTCAATAGACTTTAAAGTTGTGTTTTACTTCTTTCCCCTTTTTCAACCGCTTATCTAAATATTTACTGCTGAATCCCTTTATAAATCTTCAATTCGGCTTTATTTTCTTGTTTATTTTCTATCGGTCTATGTTCTGCAACCGAGTGGCAACCACTTACACCAGGGAGGCAACTGAACACCTAGACCCGGACTCATCTACTCAAGGGCCAGGACCCACGGCTGTGCTTCTTTTCTAAAACTTCACGCGGCCACCAGTTTTCACTCTGCCACACAAGTTTTCACTCTGTGGGTAACCCACATTAGATCCGCTTGCGTTGCGTTTAAATTTGACAGTTAGACAACATATTTAGCTATCGCTTTGCCGCATCGCGTCAGATCCGGATCTAATGTGGGTGGCCCTGTAGATTTGGAAACATGATCATGTAAACACTAGGCATCATTGTCTGGTAGTTCATTCAAAAATGTTACGAAAATCGTCAAGCTCGCTGTAACGTCACCTAGTGCCTCGTCATCCACGAATTGGCAACTATGTCAGTAGTCTAATAACTCTTAGCGCACTGATGGCATGGTGCCAATGCACAGTGTTGCTTTTTGCCGTTTTCGTGCGCTTTTTTAATAGCTTCTCAAATATTGATTTTAGGGGTACAGTTTGTTTAAAGATAATAAATTTGTTTACTCAAGATAAATTTAAATTTAATACTCCTTCAAATCATTGTTTCTAGTATAACTTTTTTCCTAGATTTTCAATATTTCTAACATTTTCTACAAAGTTGTTTGCCGTACAAAAATACATATTTTTGCTGAACATTGTAACATACTATCTCTTTAAATTAAAATATGTTTTAAAAAATTAGACATCTCCTGCAGAGTTTTTTAGTTATTAAAAAACACCTAAAAGATCGCGTGCTGCCACATGTTTTTATAACTTTTCGGCAGTAAAATAAGTATGGATTCAGAATCCTTCCTACAATTTTGCGCCAATTTGCGCCGGAAATAGTTATTGACGCAATTCGCGCCAAATCGAATCGAAGCTTGCAGCCCCCTCTCAGATTTCAATAAAATTTTCTGGATGTGTAGACTTTGACTAAATAAGCACTTTTGCATACTCAGTTTTTCCAAAATTTATCTAGACTAACATTTGAGAAGGGCCAAACTTTTTCTGCCAATTTTTTTCAAAAAAATATAATGGAAAAATGACAACTCCAACACAAATATGTTGTATGGATGACTTTTAGGAAATTGACCAAATTATCGAAAAAAAATACTGAAAAAAAATTCATTTGAGACCTACACTGAAAAAACCGATTTTTAAAATTTAAAGCCGATTTAAAAAAAAATGGCCATGTTTGATTTGGATGAAACTTTGCCTCAAGATAGGTAGTTATGTTTACTACCATCCGTCCATACATCGCAAGATGGGCACTTTTAAGGAAAAAAAAGGTTTTCTTACAAAAATTTTTTCATGTCTGAACTGATTTTTTTAACGTACTATTTTTACACAAAACTAAACCAGTGAAGCTCAAAATCATCTCAGAACCCAATAAAGCTCCATTTGTGATTCAATTTTGTCTAATCAGCAACTAATCACTTGGATTAATCGAGAATTCCATATGAAAAGGGCTTATATCATTAGAAAATAATATAATTGATTATATTGTCTACTACTGAGGCAAAATCCGATACTCCTATAGCAACTTAGAACTCTTAGCTCAAATTATCCATAAAGAATTAGGTATGAATAAAATTTAAATTGAGATCTTCTTTCGAATCAACAACGATTTGGGAAGTCAACGTATCGCATCATAATTCTATATGCTCTTCTGTTATCTATACCTTAACCATTAACATTATATACCTACCACTTCATTTTACCTATGAGCACTATAAAACTAAGGTTGATTTCATACAAGCAGCAGTCAATCTGATAACGAAAGTTGTGAAGACAAGTTGTAGTAAAATTATTATCATGGACCAAAGTAGTAAATAAGGCTCAAAGCGTTGAAATGTTGTGCAAATATAAATAATCCGAGATGCAACCGAAATAAGTTACGGGCCATATCGTCAACGATGGTAGAAAAAATACACGAAATTGATGAAACGATGAGCATTTGTGAGTCATGCCGTAGCGTGATAGCTCATAATAGAAGTCCAGTTATGAAAAAACGCCGATCGGTTGGAAATGAAGTAAATATCCAACCGTCAACTAGTGGGCAGCAGCATAGTGGTGATCCAGGTCCATCAATGAGTGGCCATCAATCCGTAGATGAGCTAGGTAAGAACAGTCATCCTGATGATTCTATCAACTTTTAACTGCAACCTCCTAATTGCACTTATTAATTATTTTTTCTTCTTCTTTCCTTCAGATACGGTACCATCGGTTCCATCATTGGAGTCAGTTCCATCAGCAGATGATCTGCAACGCCCATACAATGTTGAGAAGTTTAATGGCTTTGTGGAAACGTTGAATTTATCTCCAATTTTATCGAGGAACATGAGGAGCATGGATTATCGTTCAATAAAATCTCTAGAAATTACACAAACAGTGCGAAAAAATGTATTTGGCCTAGATACAGCAGACATTAGCAAAGTAGAGGCATACGAAGAAATGATTGTGCAGCTAAAGGAGAAGTTCAATTCCCCTACAGCTGACAGAAAAGATCAGATAACAGTATTATCAGTATTGCCAAAGTCTTGGTCCGTGAATAAAGTTGTAGCAGAATTCAACGCACCAACGTACATGGTGAGGCAGGTGAAGAGCCTTGTTAATGAGCAGGGTATTCTAAGCACACCCAACAAAAGAAGTGGGCATGGGATCAACGATGATACAAAAAAACTAGTTAGGGAATTTTTTGATGACAATGATATTAGTAGACCTATGCCCGGAACAAATGATTTTGTTTCTGAGTTTGGAAATTTACGAAAATAACACGTTCAAAAACGCCTGTTAATGATGTCCCTCAAAGAAGCGTACATGATTTTTGTTGATAAATATAAAGATATTAATATTGGTTTCACTGTATTTACACAATTGCGACCAAAACATTGCATTTTGCTTGATTCTACTGGTATACATAATGTATGTATTTGTACAATTCATGAAAATATAAAATTAATTATCAACAGTTTAAGAATTATGTTACAAGATGCAATAATAGAAAAAAATGCTTTGTAATATTTCTACTAGAACAACTGATTGCTTTTTCCGTGCTTGCGAAAAGTGTGCTTCCAATGAACATATTGAAGAGGAACTTACTTTGCTATTAGAATCAAATGACAAACAAGATGTTGTGTTTCAACAGTGGCTGAATACTGATCGTTGTAATTTGGAAACGATTATCAAGCCTGTTGATGAATTTGTTCCGTATCTCATTGATAAAATTAACAAATTTATAACTCACGACTTTATTTACAAACAACAGTCATCTTTTCTAAGAAATAAAAAAGAATCATTAAAAGAAGGCAAAATTCTAGCAATTTGTGATTTTTCTGAAAATTATTCATTCATTATCCAAAACGCTGCTCAAGGAAATTACTGGAATAATTCTCAAGCAACAAAACATCCATTTGAAGTTTATTATAAGAAGGACAATAAACTTGAAAATGTTAGCTTCATTATCATATCAGACTCACGATACAGTTGCAGTTCAGTTGTTCATCTCAAAAATGATAGATTTTATTAAACAATCGATAGATTTTTCTAAAATTACTTTTATGTCAGATGGGGCAGCATCGCAATACAAAAATAAAAAAAAAATACTTTGCTAGCCTGTGTAGATTTCAGTCAAAGCATGGATTAGAAGCAGAATGGCGTTTTTTTTTGCAACGTCTCATGGAAAAGGTCCCTGTGATGCCATTGGTGGCACTCTCAAGCGAATGGCAAAGAGAGCTAGTCTTGCTCGAGATTATGGAAACACCATAACAACTCCACGAGAATTATATAACTGGGCAGTTGAACAAACAGATAAAAATATCACAAAACTACGTTTCGAGTACATATCCACTGAACAGTACATCCAAATGTCAGAAGAACTCGAAGAACTATATAACAGCACAAAGAGAATATCTGGCACACAGAAATTCCACAGTTTTGTGCCTATAACTGGTGACAAAGTAGTGGCAAAAAGGTATCAGGTAAAAGGTATTCAGTAGATGAACCAAAAATATTTAACTTAATTGGAAAAAGGAAAAAATAGCATGTATGAAAATAGGTTTAAAACATTGAAAATATATAAATAAATGATATATGAAAAATATTGTCTTTTTTCTCTCACATATTATCGAATTTTGCATCAGTAGTAGACAACAGAATAAGCGAATGATATTTTTTTTGACAAGGTCTACATGTCCAAATAGTTTTATTGAACTCTGAGAGGGTGCTGCCAATTCCAAATACGATTTGGCGAGAAATGCATCATGAGCCCTTTTCATATGAAATTCTCGATTAATCAAAGTGAACTTAAGTGCTGATTAGACAAAATTGAATCGCAAATTGAGCTTCATTGGATTCTGAGATGGTTTTGAGCTTCACCGGTTTAGTTTTGTGTGAAAATGGCAAATCAAAAAAAAATCAGTTCAGACATGAAAAAGTTTTTGTAAGAAAAACTTTTTTACCTTAAAAGTGCCCATCGCGCGATGTATGGACAGTTTTTTTTTTATCTAGTTCGTTTATTTGGAAGGCTCAATCGCGTTAGTTTTACGGAGCCGATAATTCATTGTTCACTGTGTGTAACAAAATTCACTTAATTCTATGTCTAGTAGGAGTTGGGCCGATTACTCGCGGCTTACTCGAGGTTAGAAGGGTACATTTACG